GGTAAGACAAGGAAATGTGCCGCACCCACCAGGAACTATGCCATAATCCAGGATCACCTGGATGGCAACCAAAACTGTGGGCAGGCAATCTGCAGGGCTAACGCTGACTCACTTTGGTTCACAGGTGGGCCAGCTCCTGAGGATGAAAGCAGACCAGACTGAGGAGGACAATGCGATGCCTCCCTCCCTCCCTCCCTCCCTCCCTCCCTCCCTTCCTTCCTTCCTTCCTTCCTTCCTTCCTTCACTTTGGTTCACAGGTGGGCCAGCTCCTGAGGATGAAAGCAGACCAGACTGAGGAGGACAATGCGATGCCTCCCTCCCTCCCTCCCTCCCTCCCTCCCTCCCTTCCTTCCTTCCTTCCTTCCTTCCTTCCTTCCTTCCTTGGAAATGCACAAAATGCACTGTGACGATGGACATGACGTGCAGTTGCTGATTTCACATACATGCGCTGCTTAGCAATGAGGTGAGTGTCTGTACACAAGCATGGAGGGAGCAAATGGGCAGCCATCACAGCTGAGTGCATGGCAATGCCACTGCAACAAGAGAACAGGAGCCAACATTGACAACAGGACGCACATAAACATGTGGGATTGCGGAAGGTTGGAGGCAGGATGGGGGGGAAGGCACAGGGAGGAGGCAGATAGAGTAGGCTGTGTTCCGGAGGAGGAGCAACCAGCATCCCTGGCAGGATAGATAGGGGGGAAGGCATGGGGAGGAGGCAGATAGAGTAGGTTGTGTTCCGGGGCAGGAGCAACCAGCATCCCTGGGGCCACAGCACAGGAATGCATGTTCCCCCGAAAAGTCCATGGGATTTCCAAGAGACAGATGAGAGGGAACCTGAGAGACGTTGGTGGAGCCCCACACTTGAAATGCTCACTCCAACAGGATTCTGGAGGATGGGGAGAAAGGAGATCCCACCTCCTGAGAACAGACGCAGAGCAGGAAAGAGGACAGGAAAAGAGGAGAGTAGTGCGGGCTGGCCCCAAGAAGATGGAGAGCAGACTAAGCTGCAATGCTCCAAGGGGACGGGAAGGCTGCTAGGTGGCTTTGGGCAGACACTAGCTGAGATTGGAAAAGGGGACAGGGAGGGCCTTGTCGAACACTGCTGTGGGGAGGCCAGGAGTGGCCATCTATCAGGAAGGTGCAGGGTACAATGGTTAGAGGTGACATAGAAATCCTGAGGGCAGAGCTACTGAACAAGGCCCATCCCTTTCCACCACACAGGGGAAAAGGCTCAAGGAAGCGTGATGATGCAGCTTAAGCCAAGCAAGTAGAAAACACGCTGGTGACAGGCACCTTCCTTGGATGGGACACCCCGTGGCACAACTGGCCACCATCACCCACAGGCATGGACACATAGGGGCAAGGGGACACATCACCCTCAAAGACCAAGCCCAAAAAGCAGCTAGCTAAGCTGCGGCCTCCATTCCCAAAAAACTGCAATGGGCACCCTGGACTCAAAGCACCCCGAGACTGTGCACTGCCACTCACGGCCTGTCCTCACACCAATGCCTTTCTCTCCATGTACCTCCCAGGAACCCCTCGCCCAGCTTGTACCACACTCACTTGCCTATCCCTGTCCTTGTCCCTATGCCCACAACCCTTTTCACTGTGGCTGAGCGGCTCCATTGAACGTTGGGGACGAGACACTGTGTGAGGGTGGGAACTGGGAAAAAGGTACAACGGCAGCACACACAAGCCAGAAGACACAGTAGATGTGGATGCTGTGCCGGCAGGGTGATAGGGAAGGACCTCCAAGATACATATGCCCAAGCTCTGGGGTGGGGCATAGACCAGGATGTTACTCCCTCAAAAAGCACTGCGGACGTGACAGTGGTAGAGGTGGAGGTGCAGGTCACAGGGCAGCACTGGGCTGAGGGAAAACATTGAAGGAACACCCTTGGGGGAGAGGGACACCAACATAGTAATTCTGTCATTGAGCGCAGCACGCTGCAGTGGTGGAATGGACCAAGGGGCGAGGGGGGGGAGGACATGCTTGTTCGCACACACGGTGACACAACAAGATCCAGCAACACACAAACACTACTGAGACACGCACAAGGGGGGGCGGGGGGGAGACAACACTGGTGCATAGGGCTCACAAATCCATGGTCTTCATCACTCTTTTTGCAGAGGCTGCTCTACCACATGGGCCATACTCTGCATGCCCTTGAAGTTGGGCTCAACTTCACAGGTTCAGGGGACATGAGGGGAAACAAGGGGTGTGGGCACAAAGAACCAGACTCAGTTGGCCTCAAAACATTGACTTATTTCAGGAGTGTACAGGCTCAAAGCAAACCCGAAAAGGTACACAGGGGAAACGGGCATCTCTAAGAGGGAGGGCACTACTTCAGGGGGTACACTGAGTGGGTGCGAGCGCACTATCGGGAAAGAGGGGAGCTGGGCGGGGGGCGGACGGGGGACCGGGATGATTTGTGGGGATGAGGACCTTGAAGACCAACAGGTAGTCCCTGTGCTGGCCAACAGCATACAAAACTGCCAGCGTCAGTGCTTTTCAGAATGGAATTGCGATCTTACTTACGCACAGACGACTTGGGAGGCTTTCAGCCGCATCGATCGAATCCACGGGGGCAGGGGGGGCGGAGCTTGTGGCGCGGGGAATAGACACAAGGAGGAATCATGCTTGCCCATACACAGGCACACATGAGCATCCTCCAACCTACAGGACCACACAGGTGAAACAATAGGTCGGGAACGGCGGTTTCCCTTTTCACAACGGGCTCCACCACGTAATCCATGCAGACGGGAAGGGGTCCTCTCAACTTCCCAGGTCAAGGACACAATTGCCGAGCACAGAGAATGAGAGTCAGTTCCATAAAAATTTCAGCTCCAAGAAAACCCCAAAAGCCCCAGGGACAGGCCAGCACCTCAACATGAAATGGGCAAGTAGAATGGGGTGAGGCAACGGGCTGCATTCGACGGGGACCAGCGGCGTGTGATGACGGACATGAATCCGAGCAGCAGGACTCGGCTGACCATTCCATAACCATAAAAGACCCTAACGTGCACTTTTTGCGTGCTTTTTTTTTTTTCCCCCCGCGGATGCCCCCCTGAGTTGCGGCCTTTTCGACCCTA